CATGTCAAGCACTTCCATTTCAGCCCCTGTACAACAAAGTGCTTGTACCAGCAGCCAACAGGCTGCTCCTGCACACTCCACCCAGAACAGCACACTTCAACACTGCCTGCTCCTAATATGACTTAATTGGTGTTTTTCAGGGCCTGAGTGCACTAATAGACCTCAAGGACCACTAAGAGCCTCATCTGGGCCCAATCCCTCTACCTACATTCCAGGAGCACTGTTTAAGCAGATTATTTGAGCTCAGTCTAGAGCTCTCCCTCCCTGCTTGGCTGTGGTCTCTGATGAAGTGTGTTCTTTGATTTTCTGGCTCAGTCTCGGCCCCAGCTCATCATTAAGGAGATTAGGCTCCTTGTGGTCCCCTCCTGCCAAAAACCAGGAGCCCTCTGTGGAAAACAGGCTGCCAGCAGTGTTAGGGGAGGAGAGGCAGCCTGCCTGGAGCATAGGGAGTTGTGGTGGTGGTTGGCAGAGCCAGGGCCTCTGGCTGGGGCTGGATGTATTTCTGGGCTGTGGGAAGGGGCTGGCTCTGCAAGACTCTCTCTGCAGCCTGGAATATGCTATGGATCAGGAATTGCTGTGAATGTGTTGTACCCCCTGAGAAACTGAAAACTGTGGAGGGAAGAAGGAACTGGGAAACTCTGGACAAGAGCTGCAGGAGCAGGCTAGGAGCTGCTTCCCCTGTTGCCCACTCGATGATCAACTCGTCAGTGCCACTATCCTTTCCCCATGGCTCTGGGAGCCACATGCTCGAGACCTAGCCTTATTGCAGCACTTAAATTGGGAGCAATAGGGAAGAGATTGCTTAGGGAGGCAAAGCTCTGTGTAACCACCCCGAGGAGAGACGCTGTGGGTCCCCTCCAGGCAGGTGCTGTACAGCAGGCTGTGCAGGCTATGCTTATGACAGCAGCATGATCAGTGTATTTATAGGATACAGATACAGGGGTGATTGTAGAGAAACCTTTGCATAGTCACAGCTACCACATACACCATGGGCTATTGCAGGTGGCCAGTGAGAGCATGCAGATTCACAGTATCAGCAGTGAGCTGCCGGATGGGTGTGCTGAGCCCTCCCCAGGCTCTGCAGAGACTGGGTTTGGTCACCAGAGAACAGTCAGTGCAGACCCTGCCTGACAGCACAGCACCAGACATCTGAGTGCAGGAGCCTGCAGCACCGCTCGTGGAGAAGTCTTGGCTGGACTGATGGGTTTAGGATGCCAGTTCAAGTGCCAGGATGGGCTCCCTGTGCGTGCTCAGCCCTGCTTTGTGCCGCAGTCAGTGGCTCCAGAGCGCGAAGAGGGCGGGCGCGGTGGCTGGGGACAGCCAGCAGTGCTCCACCACGCCGTAGAGCGCGTAGCCCAGCAGCAGCCCGAAGAGCACGTCCGTCATGTTGTGCCTGCCCAGCATGACCCGGGAGATGCTGACAATGAGAGCCCAGAGCACCACGAGCACCCGCAGCGGCACGGCCAGGACCAGGTGGCGCAGGACGAAGCGGCAGACCAGGGCTGCCCTGGTGGCGTGGCCCGAGGGGAAGGAGTACTTGTCCACCGAGATGGTGACGAACATGTCCATCTTGTTGTGCGTGGGCCGCGGCCGCCTGACGAGCCCCTTCACCACCGCCACCATCACCAGGTCCAGCAGCAGCGCTGGGAGAGACAGGAACGGGGTTACTGTCTTAGGTTGCAATACAGGATGTGACCAAATGTATGTATTCTATCACCATCTGTAGAAACCAGGCGGGACAGTGATCCTTATCTCTGTGGGAAATATTCTCTGCTAATCGGCCATCTGTTAAAACCAGGTGAGGCAGTCATTTTTATTTTTTTCACAAGCCATCCTCCCTCCAGGAGTTATCTCCTGTTAATGGGCCATGGAGTCCCAGTGCATGGCTGATAAAATTCCATCATCCCATTGGGAGATGCTCCACCCAGGGGGAGGAGCCAAGCATTTCCTACCCAGATCAAAGCTGAGATTTGGAACATCAGAGCAGCCTTTTCCCACTGGATTCCAGAGGAAAAGCCAGACCCTTCCACATCATCACTGGACGTCTGGAGGAAAACTGCACCTTCTCCAGGAGCACTGCTCCAGCAGAACCACATCTGTCACTGCAGGAGGATGCAGCCACCATTGAATGGGACTGCACCAACCCCTGACTGACTGACAGGGGGTCAGCTTGGATTCTGATTCTAATAGTGTTTTGGGTTTGTTCTCTGTAATATTGTATTTCTATTTTAATTTTCCTAGTAAAGAACTGTTATTCCCATATCTTTGCCTGAGCCTCTTAATTTCAAAAATTATAATAATTTGGAGGAAGGGGGTTTACATTCTCCATTTCAAAAAAAGAGGCTTCTGCCTTTCTTAGCAGACACCTGTCTTTCAAACCAAGACAGCTACTGAAAGCACAACCATCAGCTAAGGGAGTACTCAGCTGCCAAAGCTGCCTGAAGGTGATGTTTTTCCCCATGGCTGGGAGAGCACAGCACACAGCTCCTCTTGGCCTTGTGCAGCAGAATGAGCACATCCTCAGCCTCTGCTCCTCTGCACACACCCCTCCTGCACCACCAGATCTTTCGCCTGCCATAGCCTACAGGGCTCTGCCCATTTTCTCTCTGTGTAAAATTTGATCTTGCCATGACTTGGGGCTCAATCTGTTCCTTAACCTGAAGGCAGCAGAGTCATTAAGTCCCCACAGCTCCCTTCCTGGCAGTGCTGACTCTGCACTGCTCTGTCTGCCCTGGTGACCGGGGTCAAACCGACTAGGTGAATGATCAACCCACTCCACTCCAACACAGGTCAGTGAGAAATGCTCAGAGTTGGTGTGGTGCCAGGGCTCCTGGGGGAAAAGTTAGCCCTGCTTTGGTTCTCAAGAGATGAATAAAGGATAATTTATGGTGGCTTGATCCCTGACAGCTAAAGGCTGTTTTGATAGAAACCTGTGATAAAGTGTTCAGACAGTATTTGGCAAGAGCAGCTTCTCATGTAGGGCAGAGGGTGCTTTCTCCATCCCTGTTAGCTCAGCTTAGCACAGCACCCACAGCCAGGGCTGCTTCTTGTTGTGTAAGAGACCAACTTCTGTTTGTCCTAAGACTTGTTTCTGGACACCAAATCCTTTGGTCACTTCAGTTCATTTCCTTTGGTTAATCATTTAAGAACAAATTTTTCCCCCCCCCCACATCTAAAACTAGATCAATGGCTTTTTCTCTTTCTATACAGGATCTGAGAGGTTCAAGCTGGACATGAGGGAATCCTCCTACCCCACATGGGTGCTGCAGCCCAGGGACAGATCCCCAGAGAGGTGGGTGGCTCTTGCCCAGAGCAAAAGGCCCTGGTGCTGGGACAGATCTCCTTGGAGCAGAGGTTAGGCTGGAGGCATCCAGGTCCCTTCCCACAGCTCTGCTCTGGGGCTCTAATTTAACCATGTGCTGCTGGATGAGAAAGATGCACAAGCCTGTGTTTCCCACCAAGCAAATTTCAATTCCAATTCTAAGTGTGAGATCCTAATGATTTGCAACTTAATACAAGAGTAACAACAAGGAATCTGAGCAGGTCTGGTGCTCTGGAGCTGTTACAGTTTCTAAATAAGCTAAAACGAATCCCCTTAAATACACTTAGGCTACTCTGTGTGTGTGCGTGTGAAATACTACATCATGCAAGATTAAAATTCGTGCTTTAAACCAAGTTTCCTCTCTGGCTGGTACAGAACAATCCACGAAGGCATTGCCTGCAGGGAGCCACGGGTGAACGTCTGTGTGCCAGAGCAGCTTTTCAGGGAAAGTGCTGGTGTCTCAACACTCGGCAGCTGCACCTGGAATGCGCTGTTGTGATAAGATGAGGAGCTGAGAGAGCTTTCAGCCCCCAGAACGTTTTGTAACCTCGGGAAAAGTTTAGCTGTCGGGAGTTCCCCAGTGCGTGGTTGTACCTGTGAAAGATGAATAGTGCTGGTGTCACCACGCCTTTAAGCTGCAGGGTCACTCCCTCTGCAGATAAGCCCGCACAGGTTGCTCACAATCAGCCGGTGCTTTTGGGGCTTTCAGGCTTACCCAGCTCTGCCGCATCCCTCGGGTCCCCCCTCCCCTGCACAGCCCCGGGGCCAGCCCCCCGCCTCACCGAAGAGCAGGTTGAGCAGCACCTCCCTGGCCGCCGAGCTGTCACTCTGGCAGAGCCCGTAGAAGGTGCCGAGCAGCCAGGGGATGCCATGGCCCGACACCTCGATGACCTTCATGAGGGGGCGGGCGCTGCCCCAGGCCGAGCCCTCTCCGGCGCACACCCCCAGGCGCTTGGAGGCCCAGAGGTCGATGGCGAGCAGGGAGCTGAGGGCGATGCCCACGAAGGACGGGTTCAGCTTCATGCAGTCCTCCTCGGGCAGCGGGGCGGCCGCGGCGCCGGCGGGCTCCCTGCGGCGGGAGGGGCTGTCGGGGGCGGCGGCCCCGCGCTGGCTCAGCGACAGGAACTCCAGGCGGCCGCCGCTGCCGCCGGCGCGTCGCTCGCGGCTGCTCCGGGGGCTCGGCATGGCGACGGGAGGCGGCCTGCGGGAGGCGGGCGCCGGTCACCCGCTGCCGGGCCCGCTCGGCACCCAGCATGTCACCCTGCCCGGTTCCGCTTCCCTCTCCCCCTCCCCGCGCCCTGCCCGTTATCCCCGCCCCACGCTACCGCACCGCCGGGGCGCGGTCGCCCCGCTCTCGGCGTGTCCCCCGCGCGTCCCCAAGGACGCGGCGGGTGCGGCGTGCCCGCGCGTCCCCCGGTACCGGGCGGCGCCGGCGCCGCTTCCGCTTCCTGTTCCGCTTCCGCCCGTGACGCACGGGGCGCGCCCCGCCCGCCGGCGCGCACGTGCCCGCCCCGGCCGGCGTACGGCGGCCGGCGAGGGCCGGAAGGGACGCGGCGGCGCCTTCGCCCTGCCGGCGCCGGTGCGGGCGCCGTGCGGCGGGCGGCGATGCGCGGCGGGCGGGCGGCGGCGGGACCGGCCGCCCCCCCGGGGCCGCGGTGACGGCGGCTCGGCCGCGGCCATGGGGTGCCTGCAGAGCGTGGCCTGCAAGGCGCGGGTGCGCCGCGAGCAGATCGTGGTGTCGGACGTGTCGGCCACCATCGAGCCGGCGGCCACGGCCATCGAGGAGAGCTCGCCGGTGGTGCTGCGGTACCGCACGCCCTACTTCCGCGCCTCCGCCCGCGTCCTCATGCCGCCCATCGCCCGGCGCCACACCTGGGTGGTGGGCTGGATCCAGGCCTGCAACCACATGGAGTTCTACAACACCTACAGCGACCTCGGCGTGTGAGCACCGCGGGCGGGCCCGGGGGGCGGGCATGAGGGCACGGGGGTCCGGCCGGGCCCGGGCTGTGCACGGCCATGGGGGCACGGGGACCTGGGCTGTGTACGGCGTGGGATCCCCGGGGCGGGCACCTGCTCTGTGTCGCCCGCAGGCACCGGGTGCTGCACCCCCGGCATTGGATGCTGCATCCCTGGCATTGCGTCCTGCATCTCCGGTACCGTGTGCTGCATCCCCAGCATTGGGTGTCGCACCCCGGCACTGGGTGCTGCATCCTTGACATCGGGTGCTGCATCCCTGGCACTGTGTGCTGCACCCCCAGCTTTGGGTGTCGCACCCCCGGCACTGGGTGCTGCATCCCTGGTACCCTGTGCTGCACCCCTGGCATCGGGTGCTGCATTCCTGGCACCGTGTGCTGCACCCCCAGCATTGGGTGCTGCATCCCTGGTACCCTGTGCTGCACCCCAGCACCCTGTGCTTCCCCTCTCCCCCACCTCTGCAGCCATAGCCACGCACGGGCAACACCTTCACCCCGACCCCACAATTCCTGCTCCTCATACCCCACAGTGGCTCCGACACCATCCCGATGGGCTGGACCTCGCCCTTCCAAGGGCTTTGTGGCTGCTGCCTCCCACCAAGCATCGCTTCTTTGGGGCTGGGATGCGAGCACGTGCTGGGGGAGTTGCCCCCTTGGCTTGTGTTAGAGGAGGGAAAGGTTGCAATGCTGGGCAGAAGTGCCAGCTGGAAAACAGCCTCTCCCAAGGCTGAGCGCGTGGGTGACTTGTGAGGATGCCGAGGGGCAAAGCTGTTGGCTCTGTACCTGTGATTTCTGCCTTTGGAAAGGGGTGATGCAAGAGGGGGGCTGTCCAGAGGGGTCCGTTCTGCAGCTCGCTGGTCTGGAGGACTCCTGCTGCTGGTGCAGCAGGTCCTTGTGCTGCCTTCCTGCGTCCTTGTATCGTGACAGATTGATGTGCATGGGGCACTTGGGGATGTTGGAATGAGTGGAGATCATCGTTTGGAGGGATGGCAGAAGTGTGGCCCCAGCCCCTCTGCTGCAAAGCTGCTCCCTTGTTATTGCTACGCAGGCCTCACTGGAGCCACGCAGTGTTGGTAGCGTGGCCAGCAGCAAAGATTTGGGCTGAGTTCCCTCCCTCCCTCCCAGCCATATTGGTGGGATTTCACCGTGCCAGTGGCAGGAGTAATTGCGCGATTTAATTTTTGCACGTGTCTCTGTATTTGAGGTGTAAAAATCACAGACCTACAGGAGGGGGGTGCTGATGGGCTGGGCCAGTGCCCTGGTCACAGGGAAGGCTGTTCTCCAGCACAGGAGCTGATTAAGGAGAGAGTGACCCCACAGAGACTCTGCAGTGGGTTTTGACCCAGTCAGTTTAATTGCAGGTTAATTAAAATGGCATTGTGTCAGCAGGGCAAAGGCTCGAGCTGGACGTGCGAGTCTTGGTAGAGGAACCGAAGCTGAATTTATTCTTCAGGTTGTCCCTGAGAGTTTGCTGCAAGCAGGCAGAGGGTCCCTGTGCTGCTGGCTTCCCCGTCCCTCGGCAGGCACTGTTGCTGCCATTTCCCTGCTCATCCTCCTCTTCCTCTTCACTAGGTCAAGCTGGGAGCTGCCCGACCTGCGAGAAGGACGAGTAAAAGCCATCAGCGACTCGGATGGGGTGAGCTACCCCTGGTATGGGAACACCACAGAAACCGTGACCCTGGTCGGGCCCACCAACAAGATCTCCAGGTTCTCGGTGAGCATGAATGACAATTTCTACCCCAGCGTGACGTGGGCCGTCCCCGTGAGCAACAGCAACGTGCCGCTGCTGACCAGGATTAAAAGGGACCAGAGCTTCACCACGTGGCTCGTGGCCATGAACACGACCACCAAGGAGAAGATCATCTTGCAGACTATAAAGTGGAGGATGCGGGTGGACATCGAGGTGGACCCCATGCAGCTGCTGGGGCAGCGGGCACGGCTGGTGGGCAGGACTCAGCAGGAGCAGCCGCGGATCCTCAGCAGGATGGAGCCCATCCCGCCCAACGCGCTGGTGAAGCCCAACGCCAACGACGCCCAGGTCCTCATGTGGAGGCCCAAGAGAGGGCAGCCCATCGTGGTGATACCTCCCAAGTAGGGGCGTGCAGGTGAGCACCTGGGTGCCCCCAGCCCTCGCTGCAGGCGGACAGGGTTTCCGAGCCAAAGCGGGACCTCTTGGCTTCTCCTGCCTTTGTTGTTGTGGTTGGATTGGAAACGTGGCTCCTCCTTGGTCAGAAATAGAGCCTGGCTGGCAGAAGAGGGTTTGCTGAGCTGGAGGATTTCCCAGGAAGCAGAATGGAGTGTTTGCAGCTGGCACGGAGGATGTCTGATGTGAAGGACTCGCCTTTACTTGCAGGGCAGCGCGAGGAGCAGGAGCGTGGTTGAACCGTGCCTGTGGCAAATGCTGCTTCCCACCCAGCTGGAGGGAGAGGTGGAGGCTGTGCCTGCTGTGGTGCCCCGTGTCCCTGCTGTGTCCATACCTATGCATTTCAGATGGATAACCCACCCCTGGGATGGGACTGGGTGGGAGGGCTGGCAGCGGGGTGGGAATGGGTAGTGCAGTGCTTGGGGGCGAGCAGAGCCCGGTGCTGGCCAGTGCCACTGCAGCCCAGGGGGAGCAGGACACGTTTTGCATGCATCTGGGTGTGTTTGGAGTAGTTGTGAGTGTAGGAGACGCTGTAGCTCTTTTCTGTCTTGGAGTGAGGTCTAAGGGCAGGTTAGATGTCCTTTTGTTTTAAGGTGCACTGGGTGTTTGCAGTTGCTCAGCCTCCCCTCCTGTGTCCTGCTGGCCCTTTTCTTGTGCAAGCAGAAACGATTCTCAGCTGAGTGAGGAATGGGGAGCGGTGCCATTCCCCCAGCCCAGGTGCTCTGTGTGTTTGGGGTACCCAAACCAGCTCAGAGGTACCCCTGGAGTCACTTTGCTTCACCACAGACCCCACTCCCTTGCTAGAAGTTGGGTCCTTGCTCGTTTTCCAGGCAAATGCTGGTTTACGTGGAGACCTCTTCCCCAGCCACCCACGGAGCAGAGTGGCTACTGGCTGGGCCACCAGGGGAGGGGACCTTGTGGTAACTCCCCAAGCTGCGTGGAAAGCAGGGATGTGAGTGGAGGCTGTTCAGGCCTGGGTTTGCCTGGGAAGGAGGGGATGAATGTGCTGCCTGATGTGCTTGGGAGGGGTCACGGGGGGATTTCTTTGCCTTTCTCCTCACTCCTTGCTGCCTGGGCAGCTGGTGTCAGCTGGTCCATGGGGCAGCAGCGTGCTGGGGGATGCAGCTGGCAGTTCCCAGGATCTCACCCTGGAGTTGCAGCAGGCATAAACCATGGCTGTGCTGCTGCTGCTGCTGCTCTGGGTGCTCCATCACTCCTGGGCAGGTGGTTACAGCTTCTGCTGCTTTCTCTGCTCTGTCCTCCCCTGCAGCTCCTCCAGCTCACAGCTCTGCCTTCTTCACACTGCAGGAGGGGCGACTGTGCTGCCCTGGGGATGCAGGTCATTCCTGGGACATTCCTGCTGGGAAGGTCCCATGTGCTATCCCGCTGGCAGGACAGCCCGGGGAGGAGCCTGGGTGACACTTCTGTGCACAGGGGCTCCCGAGGCATCTTAGACCAAAAATCCCTGTGAAATCCCCGTGCTATTTATTGCCCTCAGTAGTGTTTGCTGCTGATCCAGTACTTTATTTATTTTTTGTCTGGGAGCGTTTCCTTTTGACGTCTTGGCTCAACATTTCCCTGTGCCAGGGCTGCTCCTGCTCCTCCTGCCCGGCCTCACACTGGGCTGGGCTGGGAACCTGCTGCTTTCTGTGCCTATGTCGGGGTTTATAGGGGCTGCAGCCTTGCTGTGGGGCAGGTTTGGAGGCTTTGAGCTTTGGTTTGCTGTGTTTTCTGCAGCAGAGCTCCCACAGGGAGCTTGCTGGTGTGGGAAGATGTCCTGCTCTTGTGAGACTGTGGTTTTGTCCTGGTGTGGGACTGATGGCAATGGTGCCATCGCTGATGTTTTGTTTCTCAAAAAGTGTGTGTGGAGAGGGGTTAGAAACTTGAAATACAATTTTCCTTAAGGACTGGGGGAGGAGAGGTAAGTACCTTTTGCTTTGAAATAAGGCAAGTGTATACTTTTGACCCAGGGGGACAGAAACATCTCTGGCAGCATCAGAGCTAAAACGCCAGAGGAAGGGGTTCTCCCACAAACAGGTAGCTCCAAAGGGAGCTTCCTGCTGGGAGAGGATGCTGTGTCCAGAGGCTGTGTGAGCCAGCTCCCCAAAACCCACGGGAAATGGCTGCATGTCAGCCCAGGGAGCTGTCTGGGAGAGCGGGGACACTGCTGCAGGGATGCTGTTGAATTCATTGCCACCTTTTGGGATTTGCTGGCCAGTCTGAGCCACGACACTGAGACAGCAGTAGCTGAATTTCTGTCCATGAATGTCTGCAACATCCTGGTGCCAGGATCAGGCTCTGTGCCTGGCTGTAGCCGTGCCTGACCCCCCCAGGGCTGCCCCAGCCTGCAGGCAGGTGTTGGCTGAGCCCTGGGGCCATGCCTGTGTTTTCACCTCTCCAGGCTTCTGCCAGGCTTCCATTCTTGCTCCTCTGAGGCTGGATTTGATGCACTTAACTCAGTTTGGTGCATGGGTTGTCTTTGTGGGCATTTCCCCGTTTAAAAAAGAAGGGGGGGGGAAGAAAAAAAAAAGTTTGCTAAAAAACACGTACAAGCAGCGTTTACAGAAAGGTGCAGGCATTTTGCATGTTGGCAAAAGGTGTTCACACCTGGGTGGAGGTGGAGCTCTGGGGCTGGTGCTGCTCAAAGGAAGGAAGGAAGGTGGTGGGGGAGAGGTCCCATGTGTGAGTCTGAGTTTGGCTCATTCCCTGTGGCTGGATGAGCACTCAGACCCCCATGGGATGCTTCCCCTGCACCCCCCTTCCCCACCAGCACCCCGTTATCTCAGGGAGGGGCAGCTCATGGAAATGCCCACCCTCACACTCTGAGCCTCGGGGTGCCCCTTCCCCTCCTTGGGTCACTTATTTTTATTTATTTATTTATTTATTTATTTATTTATTGGTATTTATTGACAACTGGAAGTGGGGGGGTGGGGGGGTGGGGAGGGGGTCGTTTTTGCTGCACAGTGGGGGCAGCTGGGTCTCCCCCACACACCCAGCACCCCCCCTTGCATTGTGGGGTGCTGCTGGGAGCACCTCTGGGGAGGGATGCCCCACGCTCCCATCCCCTTTTTGAGAGGGAGAAAAAGGAAGGGGAAACCACACTGGTGCCTGCGGGGAGGGCACCCGGTGCTCGCCCCCTCCCTGCAGGAGCTCGGTGCTCCCTCCTGTGCCCATCCCTGTTTACTGACCCGGCCTCCTGGCTCTTCTCCCGCTGGATTTGCTGTTTGCAGAGGGCGGGAGGGGCCAGGGTGGATGAATGTCACTAGGGAGAACAGACCAAACCAGGTATTCTGCTGCCGCGTGGGGAAAATCAGAACGAGAGGAAAGCTGGTTTTGCAGAGTGCCTTAAACACAAATGACTTTACCGAGTAGGGGGCTTGGACTTCTGTCTCTGGATGTTATTACCAACTCGAAAAAGTGTTGCATTTCACTTCTCTGGGATTAAAAGAAAACTACTCGAGCTGTACTGGAGCCAAAGCTTGTGTTTGCTTGAGTCTCTCTGGCTGGTTTGTACCTCTGGGGCCTTGGCAGCACCGTGGAGCAGGCAAATTGAATTAATGACATTTCAACCAGCCCCTGCCTGCCTCAGCAGTGGCACCAGTGGCTGGCCCTGTTGGCTTTAAGCCTTTGGGTCTGGTGACAGACCTTTGCTCCACTGTGTCCTGCCTTGCAGGTGGCTTCTGTGGTGTCCCAGAGAGGTTGTGCTGGCCCTGCAGTGCCCTTCCCCAGGGGGTGCTCTGAGCAAGCTGTTTGCACAAAGATTGCCCTAGGGCTGTGTCCTTGAGCTTTCAGAAAATTGGGCAAAGCTTGGAGGGGGCAGACATTCCTTTTTCCCTTAGGAAACCAGATCAAAGTGAGGGAACAGCCAGAAACCCAGGAGTTTGTGCAGCCCAGCCATGGGAACTAGGAAAGCTGCCTAGCCTGATAAAGCTGAAAAGCTACACAGAAAAAAACAAACATGTTTCCCTTTTGATATTGTAGATTCCCCCTCCCCTTTCTTGCAAAGTGGAAGAGTGAGAACAAAAGTTAGGAACAGTTGGTCTCTGGGCTATCTCCCAGCCAAAATAATACATGGGAATAATATGGAGTTCCATAACGAAGGTTCATTTAAAAGCCATTTGGGGAAATACACTAATATTCACTGCATAGTTCCTGAAGGCAATTAAAAATTAATAAACCCCTTTTTTTGGGGGGGGAGGGATAATGAAAGAGGGTTGTGGGTGCTGCCTGAGGTTTAGCCTGGAGGGGGATCTCATTGCTCACCTTGAACATCCACCCTGCCAGTCCTCACTTGCTGGGGGGTAACATTTGTGCCCCAGGACAACTGATTTCTTTAAGAGCTGCTCCTTTTGGGCATTGCTGGCTGTGCTGGGCTTTGAGGGATGCTGGCAGCCACCCTATGAGCTATTCAGTGAGCAGCTTCCTTTCCTACTGTTATATTAAAACATTGCTCATCTCTTGACAAATCCCTGAGTTGGGGGTGTGGGAGAGCAGGCAGGAGTTTGCACAGCTCCTGTCCTGCCTGCTCCTGCCCTAGGAGCAGGGAAGGACCCTCTGCCCAGCAGCCAAGGGCAGGCCAAGCTGAGGCACATTCTTCCTTCCCAGCAGGGGAAGCACAACTGCCTTGTCTGAGACCATGTGCCCTGGCACAACCTGTCTTTCCAAAATGCCCTCCTTGCAGAGCAAGAACAAGGGCAGTCTGTGCTGCTGCCACCCCCCTCCAGAGCTTGGGCACAAATCCCAGCTGCATGGCCATAGCAAATGCTGTGGGGGCCAGCAGAGACACACAAGGGACGCTGCAGGTAGTACTGAAGGTCAGTTTATTTGCTTGATTCCCTCTTCCACAAAACCTGGGAACAAATCACCTTCCAGCAAGAGATGAGAAAGCAGTTAACAAGTGAGAGATTTGGCTCTGCAGCTCCTCCCTTACTCCTGGGACCAAAGGTTAGATGGCTGCTCTGAAAGGCACACAGCAGCTCCCTGTCCCAGCAGGACACCCCTTCTCACCACAGCATTTCTCTGGGACAAGCATGGCTAGAAGCAAACAGGACAGACACCACAGCAGGAGCCTTGGAGTCCCCACTGCTCTGTTCCTCTCAGCCTTGGAGGCAGGAAACCACTGGGGTTTAGTTTTGAGGGGATGTGGGGGTGAAAGGGACAGGAGGGCTGGTTTAGTACTGCCAGGCTGTGGATTGTGCAGTGTCAGACGGGCGGGAGCTGGGCTCGGGAAGGCTCTGGCATCCCGGCAGGACTGACGGACACACAGACGCCTCACTCTGGCTGCGGGGTGTAGCGCAGGTACTTCTTGCCCGAGGGCAGCTCCTTGGTGAAGACTCCTTTGGGGAAGAGCTTCTTGGCTTCCTCGTCAGGTAAGGTGGGCACGACCATGACGCTGTCACCGGGCTAATAGGGACAAATGGGGACACTGAGGAGCTGGCAGGGTTGGACACTCAGCCCTTGTGCCCCAGGCATGTCCCATGGAGCCAGCAGTGAGGGCAGAGGAGGAGCTACACCAGGAGATGTCCAAAGCGAGAGCTGTGCCATCTGCCAGCCCTGCCAGTGGCATCCCACAGCCACAGCACTCCCATGGGAGCAGGGAGTAAGGAGGGGAGAATGTGAGCCTTGCTGGGATGATGGACAGAGCCTGCTCATCCATTCCTCTTGTTCAGGCACCTCTGGACATGTGGTGCTGGCTCCCCCTTGATTCCAAGCCCTGGGGAATGGAATTTCCAGGCAGGTGGGTGAGCTGGCCCATCCCACTGGGAGCTTATGCTGCAGGGATCAGGAGCCTTCAGAGGCAAGGCTGCCTCCAGCTGCTGCTTCCCCCACCCTGTGTGTCCCCCTGCAAGGGGGCTGGCTGCCATTTCAATGCCTGGCTCTGAGCTTTGCCTTGCTCCTCACCTTCCAGTCCACAGGAGTAGCGACCTTCTTGTATGCTGTGAGCTGCAGGGAGTCCACCACTCTCAGGATCTCATCAAAGTTTCTCCCAGTGGTGGCTGGGTACAGGATCGAGAGCTTTAGCTTCTTATCTGGCCCAAAAACGAACACCTGAGCACAGGGAGACAGTGTCAGGGGCTGGGCACATTGGTCTGACTGCTCTGCTGGATCTGCTCAGCCCTGATGTTCCTTCTCTCCTGGGAGCTGCTTTATCACAGGTGTTGGGAGAGGGGAGATGCCATGGAGGGGATCTAGAGAACTGATGCTCAGGGATTGTGGTTTTGCTCTGGGAACTCCTGTGTCCAATGCCAGCTTGTGCTACCTGTGCCCTTCTAGTGCAAGCTCACGAGGGGAGAGGGAAAGTCCAGCAGATCAAGCCAAAAATTAATTTGGGATCAGGTGGGTCACTGTGACACAGCCCAAGGTTCCAGCCCAAAGGAGTCATCCTAGCTCCTGAGGATGGCCATGGCCATCCAGGCAAGCTGTCCCACAGGCACAGGGCAGGGTGGCAGGCTGTGCTTCTGTACTGCTGTGGGGCCAGGCACTCACCACCCGAGCAGTCAGGGGCATCCCATCCTTGTCCAGCTCGTCGGGGTCCAGCATGCCCAGCTTGACAGCCAGCTCCCGGTTCTTGTCAGCAATGATGGGGAAGGGCAGCTTCTCTGCAGGCTGGTCCCCATTGTAGGCATTGATATCCTGCACAGACAAAACCATGGGATGTTCCTGTGGCCACTACAGAGGCAGAGCCAGGCAGAAGCAGAAGCTGCAGAAGCTCCTGACTTGCTTTCCTGGGACAGAACAGCCAGGGGCTCATGGCCTTCCATGAAGTTTCCAGAAACCAGGTGACAAACCAGAAACGTTTGTGCCAGGCTGGGCTTTGTGCCTTGTTCTTGAGGGTCAGTTCTCACTCACACCCATGGAGCAGCTGCTCTGCCCAGGCAGTGGGTATGAAACAATAAGGAATTCCTGCCTATGTTAGTGACACAGAGAGGTTTAACCACTTTCCACTGAGAACTGTGTCCCTCTGCCAGCTCTCTGCTAGCACTGCTGGCACTTGTGTGGGTGTCACCTGTACTGGACTGTGCTCCTAAGGAATTGTTTCTCTAGAGGCAGAGCAAACCAGCAGCTGACAAAGGAAAGTCCAACACTCCACAGGTCTTGTGTAAGGGACCAGTTCCATTCAGTGAGTCATTCACAGCTTACTTAACTAAAGGCTCCCAAAAAACTGGAGTGGAAGCCTGAGTGCAGGTGCTGGGACACTGCTCACTCCTTTCTGAACCATGCCTGGGACAGAAGAGAAAACCATTCTCCTCCACAGCCCTGCAGTTACATGTAACCACAAAACTTGTGACCATGGTTTATGAGGTTCCTCCCTGTGCTAGTCCAAACTGGACCTGCTTCACAAATACACACACACACACACAAAAAAAAGTATTTTGAGCATCTCCAAACCTGGTCTGGACTCAAGGAGAGCATTTAAGTTATCCCTGAAGTCTGCAGTACCACCCTCACAGGTCACATAGAGCCCCAGCACAGGCAGAGCAGTTGCCAGCATCAAAGCAAGTAGAATTCAAGGTTCCTGCCCCAGAACAAGGCAGCCTGTTCCTTCCCCCCTTTTCATGCTACAAGGAGACAAAACTGACTGCAGTGCTGCTGTGAGCCTCCCTGGCACTGCTGTGCTGCACTATCAGCTCAGCTGATAACCCCCATGTACAAATCTCTCTGCCTTCTCCAGGCCTTGAATGTGGGAGAGCAGGGAGGGAGCTCAGGGTTGGAAGTGCTGCTGTCCTTTGGCACTGCTCAGAGCACACCAACAGCAGCAAGAGCAGGCAGGACCTGCACCCCTCCTCAGCCCCCCATGGCTGCTGGTGCTGACAAAGGGGCTGGAGCCCTGCCCCAGCTGCTCAGGATGCTGCAAGCAGGTCAAGTGGTGCACACGTGGCCAAGTGTTTCCTTTCCAGCTTTTCTGTTTGCTTGTTTTCTGTGTCACCACGGCTCTGCAAATAGGGGCCATTGATCTCAGCTGGGTTGTGGTCAGGCCTGCCTTGGAAGGAGGCAAGGAATGGGTTCTGCTGTCCTGAAAACCTGCCTTGTCAGAGCAGAGCAGAGAAGGAAAGCAGAGCTGGAGAGTTCAGCTGAGGAGAAATGCTGCTGAAGGCTCCACAGAGTCACAGGAGGCTGCAGCAAATGAGAGCCACCCACCCCTCTCTCTTTAGAGCAGGGGCTGGAGGATGAGGAGTTTCTGAGAAGCAATATCTGGACCCTATGGACTGACTCGTTCCAAAATGCACGTAATTTCATGACCTGGGGAGCTCTAGAAAGCAGCCTCACAAACCACACTCTGTGTTGCAATACAACACCCATGGCTCCCTTCCCTTGCCACTAATTTTCTTTCCAGAGTCCAAGCTGAAACCAGACATCCCTGGTGTGATTTGTTCACCACCGACTCACCAAGGTGCAGGTATCAGTGGCCAATATTTCAGAGTATCACTGAAACCTCTGACATGCACAGCATGTGCCAGCCAGGCCTGCTGGAGGAGCTCAGGCATTCACCCAGCCCTTGGAGAAGCTCCTGACTGGGGAGGGTGGGATCAATCCCTGGCTGAGCTACAGCTCCCAGTCCTGGAGCAAGCTTCTCTTTTTTGGCTAAGGGATGGCTAAGAATAGCTGTGACATCTCTGGTTGGAAAGCAGAGCTGCACCAAGTGACACGAGGATTATTGGCTCTGCCCACTGAAATTTGGCAGCAGAGCAAGCAGGAGTTTCTTTAGAGTTTCATGCAGGATTTCAGCCACCTCTCTTGCCCACCTGCTTCCTTGCAGGCTGTGCTCCAGGTAAAAGCAGCTTCATCCAGACAGAAAGCAGAGGAGTGTTTGGGAATTCTGCACAGAGGGTTCTGCCCAAAGTTTTGCTCACTCATAGGGCTTCTAAATTTAATCCAGTGAAGCACAGGCTGCATGGAACACTCCAGCCTTCCTTCTGTGGATTTGTCCTCACCAACTGGATCTTTTGCTTGGACGACTTTCACCTAGTTCTGACAGGTGCTGAGCTGACACTTCCAAACCTCTGTCTCCAAGGCTTCTGCCAGGCTCACCACAGCTTGAATCACTGCCCTCTCCGTGGCTTTTCCAGAAGGCTTTCCTGCTCTGCCTCCCCTCAGCCAGCATCCAGAGGCTGTTCTGCAACTTCTCCTGAGGTTGTGCTGAATAATTCCATAGCATCAGCAGAGTCAGCTCGTTAACTTCTTTTTCAGATCACCCAAGCCTGCTGAACCCCACACACCCTGAGAGAGCTCAGCACTTCCCTCCCTTGACACAAATTACTGCTTTTCCTGCAAGAAACAGCCTGCCTTTCACAGAGCTGACTTCATTGGGAAGCTTCTTACAAATTCAAAGCCTTTGCAGAAGTCAGCAACACCCCAACACTTTAGCTTGATCCAAACAGCAGATGAGTCTCCCTCACAAAAGCACAATGCAAACTTTCTGTTATGAAACAGAAACATTTCTAATGACATGTTATTTGCTAATCTGGCTGCTGGTTTCAGCCAGTTTGAGCAGCACAGAAATCTCATTTAATGTACATTGCTTTTCTGAGGCTTGCTGGGACATTGGCCATGCACAGCTCAGGTACAAAGGTCGATTTAAGCAATAAGGCAATTAGCTAATTTCTAAAGCCAGTCAGCCATGAAATAATGTCCGAGTGTAGAAATTTCTCACTTTTAATGCTTCTTATTGCATGCACCTCTCACCACTGGAAAATATGTGAGAACAGTCCCAATTTTAAGAGCTAAGAGAGTGGCAGGTAATTCACCCAAGGATTTTTACACTCTGGCCATTTCTATCTGAAATACTTATTTTAGACCCCTACCACCTCTAGGCCTGGAACCATTCTCCCTGGCAGCACACACAGGCTGCCTGTGAAGTTTAACTTTAGCTCCTTCACTGAGTTATTCCACTCCCATCTTTTTTAAAACTCCCTCACGTTCATTTTACATTTATTGTTCTCCTATTTATGTTTTTATATTTAACACGTCTCTATTTGTCTTTTGTTTTCTCCTCCCTGCCCAAGCACGAACTGCAACTTCACTCCTCACTTCTGATGCCTCTTTTCCTTTCCTGTTTCCATTACAGAGCTTTCCTGAGGGTCTGTGGATAGGTTGCCTTCCTCTGAGATTCTGGCATCACCTCCACACATTTTAACCCTTTCAGCTAGTGGTGGGACAGCAAAAATATTGTTTTCCTCTTGCATCAAAGAGCACAGAGCACTTTGTGGGGCGCTCCACAAAGATGGAGAATTCTCCATTCCCGCTCTGAATTCCAGCACCCCCACGCTTTGGGATGTGACATACATCCCTCCAAGGCTGTGAGGGCTTTCAAGCTGCCCCCTGAGCCGTGCCCAGAGGTGTTACCTTGCACCAGGAGAGGTGGTCCTGCACGCTGTCGATGGAGAGCGCGATCATCTTGACGTTGCGCTTGCTGAACTCGGGCGCCAGCTTGGCCGCCCGGCCCAGCTCCGTGGTGCACACAGGGGTGAAATCCCGAGGGTGGGAGAACAGGATGCCCCACCTGCAAGGGAAGGCTGAAGGTGAGCTGTCTGGTTTGTGCTGCAGACAGAAATCTGTGCGGACTGCACGGTGTGGAGTGCAGGAACAGCCCGGCTATCTGGTAAGGAAACCCTTCCCTGTCACGAGAAACCTCCATGAGATAAGCTCTGCTCTGGGAAACTCCCTGCACCTCTCGCCCCACTCTCCCTCCAGGAGATGCTGGAATAGCCCACGGTTCTTGCCATGGAGGTGGACACCATGCCATGTGAGGAATTTTGGGGGAGCCACACGGTAGCCCAGAGATGCCATGTGTAAGAGGATGCAGGTGCCAGCCAGGTTATGGCAGAGATGTCACTGATCCACGAGCCCCTACAGCTCATCCCCACCAGAAGACACACAAATGTACATCATGTACAGCAAAAGAATGGGGCAGGATCAAGCCTTAGCCCAGCTGCTGCTGTGAGCTGCTAAAAACACTTGAAAAAGTAAGAATTAATGAATTAGCAGGGGAGGCCAGGAGTTAACAACTCAGCCACCTCGCTTTTGCCCCCAGCTTGGCAGCAATGGATTTGGAGTCTTTAGAGCAGGCAAATGCTATTCCTATACCTCACAGGTAAGGAAAGCAGTGCACAGAGAAAGGCAGCAGGAGCAAAAAGGCTCTCAGGACTTCCCAGGTGCTAAAATAAAGCCACCCCAGCACTTCAAATGCCCTGCCAGAGACTTGCTGCACCGTTTCTCAGCCCAAATTGCATAGATCTCTATTGCACTGATTGTCACCCGGCCCCCAGCACCACAGCAGTGGGGAAAGCCCTGTCTGAGGGATTTGGGAATGCAGTTAGAAGTTCAAGTGCGGCTCCTGCAGCTCTGCCGTGCGACCAACACGGATCACCGGGAACTTATGGAGTTACCTGCTGCCGAGACTTTTCATACAATAACTACACTGCTTGAATGAACAGCAGCAAACCACCGAGGAGGAAGAAAGGTGCCACGTGTGTGAGCAGGCTGGAACAGCCAGTTCCAGAAGGCCTGAGAGAGGCTCAGAGAGTTCTTTTTTTCCCTTTTGCTCACAAAGCCGACAGAAGGGGCTGATTCGAGCCTGCCAAGCGGGAGCGAGTCCCGAGCACGCCGGGAATGAGCGGGACTGGTGCCCGGCAGGACCAGAGCCCTTTGTCACCGCACCCTCCGAATTCCCGGGATGTACGTGACACCCGAGCCGCTCTCAGGACCGGCCTGGGCTAAGCGCCGCTCTGCCAAGCCTGGCTTTGCCGTGCCGGGAGTGCACGGGAATCTGCCTCTCTCCTCTCCTCGGGGGCTCCAGGGATGATGGGGATGGGCGGCTCTGCCTCCCCGCCGTGCCCGGCCTCCCGGTTCCACGAGAAAAACCCACATTTTGGGGCAATTTTGGCACATTTGGGAACCCGCCACGCGGGATTCAGCCAGGCGGAAGGAGCGCGGTGAGCGGTCCCGCTCCATCCCTGCTCCCGGGATTCCCGGCGGCGCGGACATCCCATCCCCATCCCATCCCCATCCCCATCCCCATCCTCATCCCAATCCCCGCTCCCAGCGCATCCCCCAGTGCTCACGAGTCTCCCAGGAAGTCATGGAAGCGGATGCGGCCCTGAGTGGTGTCCGCCTCGAAGTTGGGTGCCTCGTCGCCCAGCAGCAGTCCTGGCATAGCTGCAGCTCCCAGCGCAATTCCCGGCGCAATTCCCGGTGCAATTCCCGGGGCCGCCGCCCGCTCTGCGCACGCGCGGACCTCGCCCCCCGCGGTCACGTGAGCGCGGTCACGTGACGGCGCGGAGGGGCCGTGGCCGTGATGGCGACCTACGTGAGCGAGCTGGAGGCGGCCAAGAAGAGCCTGAGCGAGGCGCTGGGAGAGAACGTGAAGCAGTGAGTGCCCTCAGGGAGCGGGGGGTGCGGGGCTGGGCACTGCGGGACGCTCCCGGCTCCTCCCGTGTCCGTGTAAAACCTCGGCCCTGCTGCTGGGTGTGGGAACAGCGCTCTTCCTCCGCTGTCTGCACTTCATGATGATGCCTGGAGAGGCTGTCTAGAACAGAGGCTAGACGGTGTTAAAGGAATAAAGTAGGGATTTATTAAAAGGCCTTCACAGGATTCACCTTGGGTAGTACAAGAGCCTGGCTGTGGCTACACCCAAGATGGATTCAGAGTCCCAAGTTGTCACACTTTTATAAGTTTTGGTGCATTTCCATCTTGGGGTTCATTGTCCAATCCCAGCTCCAGGTTCTGCAGTCCCATCCTCCCAGATTCTCTCCTCAATTCGCTGTTGTTTGCACTTTTTGGGGCTGAAGGTTCAGGGGTGTCCTTGGTTGTGGGGTTGGCAAAGGATTGTTTTGTGTGCCTGAGCTGTGAGGAGAACTTGTAACACTTTGTATGAAGTTCAGAATCACACACAGTACAGAATCTGAAAAATATGAAAGCTAAAACTGAAGGCATCAACCAGAGGTGCTGAAGGAAAGAGTCACTCGGTGCCACGGTCTGGTTGATGTTGGTATTTTGGGCTCGATGATTTTGAAGTCTTTTCCAACCCAATTGATTCTGTGCTTCCCTGCTCTTCCCAAGGTACTGGGCCAACCTGAAACTCTGGTTCAAGCAGAAGATCAGTAAGGAGGAGTTTGACCTGGAAGCACGCAGGCTTCTCACACAGGACAATGGTAAAATGACACCTGGTGCTCTTTTCCCTGCCAGGCCTGGGAAGTTCCGAAGTGCTTCCCGAACAGAGAAAATGCTTGTGAGGGAAATTGCAGTGGCCAGGGCTCTGGCAGCAATGGGGTTAAAATGGTGGGAGGAGCCCTGGTTTGCATGGGGAAGTCCCTGTGTAACCCCTGCACTGACAACTTGGCATTGTGTAAACGTGTTACAAATGTTAAACGTGCTCTTGGAGCAAACAAAAAGCCTTTTTTTAAAATGTCACCGTGAGGCACAGTCCTTTCTGTGCTTTCCCTTTGGTTGTAGCTGAAGTAGGAGACCCTGGATTCACCTGGGTGCATTTGCAGCAGGCAGGTCCTTCCTGGCCTGGGGGAGTGCTGAAGAGTGAGATTCCTCCATCCTTGCTTCTCTGTCGGCAAACATGGGTGGGCATTGCTGAGCTCACTGTGGGGGCTCCTGGCTTCCACCTTTGTGATCCCTTCAGGGAGTTTTTTGGTGCTCCAAAGAGGATTCTGTAACCCTCTGATCCTGCCTCTGAAGCTGTTTTCATTTTCTCTAGTGCACAATTACTCTGTGTTCTGGAAATCCTCTGCAGTGAACTTCTGTTTTATTAGAACCTCTTTGAGTTGACTTCATCCTTGTGGGGGGCTGGCTCTCATTTTGGTGGATTTTCTAGCAAAACCAAAAGCACTGCAGTGGGATGCCTGCATGGCCATGGGGACAGCTGCTCCCCTGACTGGATGACTACACCAGGCTTGTCAAGTAGCTGTAACACACTGTAGGTGTGTGTAACACTCACCTGTGTTACTCACTCATTGTTTCTGTTCTGTGTGTAGTATCTTCTGTGTTGTCACAGTAGTAGATTCTCAGCCCAGTAGAAGAAAACTCTCAAAAAACCATGAATTGAAAATGAACTGAGCAGGTGGGGAGAACACAAAAGTGTGAAAGCTTGGGGAGCTACTTTAGGATGGCTTTGGAGATACCTCTGGGCACTGGTGTGCTGTTAACGAGCTCTCTCTCTCTCTCTCTCCACAGTCCACTCTCACAATGATTTCCTCCTGGCTATTCTCACTCGATGCCAGATCTTGGTTTCTGCCCCAGGTGAGTCCCAAGAAGCCTCATTAAGCCCTTGGTGTAACACTGTGCCTGCCACTTGTGTGTTTGGGGTGTGTGTTCACAGTACCCCAGTATTCTCAGCCTTAATATTCACGGGTTTTTTTTGCCACACAGGTAAAAATGTAGCAAAAATAGTGTTTTAGCTGATTTCAGTAGAGATGCTTCTATGACTGAAGTGTGTGTGCTTGGTTAGAGGCTGATGCTGGATTGCTGACTGTGATAATCTGGTTTGATTTCTGGATTGAGCTGGAGGGTAAAGGCAGATTCAGCTTTCTCTTTGATGTGCTTTGCTTATCTCTTCCTCTCTCCTCTGAACTTTGTTCCTGGTCATTGTGAAGAGCTGAGTATTGCTGACTGATCTTGATTTCAAGTGCATATCTGATAGAAAAGTGCTTACAGGGAGCCTTGGTTATGACCGAGTAACCCAATGGTCTGCAGATAGTTAACCTTCGTGAGCATCTAGAATTACATTTTAACTTTGTGGATGTCTAGAATGGCTGTCCTCAAGGTTGCAAGGCATGATTTGTTTGGCTTTCAAAAGAGCTCTCAACCCAGGGATGTGGTAGCAAGGGCAAATGAGCTGCAATTCAAGATATGGAAGTGCTGTGTAGGAAAAGAGAGAAAGTTGTTGCAGCTCACATGGGCTGAGACCTAGGAGATGAGTTTTTTGAGAGAATTCCTGTTATTGAGGTGCCTGTTGTAGCTAGAGGAAACAATGCCTGCAAAATTCATGGATGCCCACAGGTTTTTGTGTTGGAGCTGGTCCTTTACTCTAGTAGCTGTGCTAATTAAATGTTAATGATCCCCACCTCCAAACTTGCTTTTTTTTCTGTTGATGGAACTTCAGAAACATCGTGTGTGTCCTAAACTTGTTCCCTTTTGGGGTCTGGGCTCATAAATCAGAAAGTTTATGTCTGAATCTGTTGTTCCTTGCTTTTAACGTTGAATAATTAATTACACAGGGAACAGTGATTCCCGATTATCACCTGGAGCAGCTGAGTCTAAATGAGAGGGGGAGGGAGGCAGAGCCTGTTCTCTGAGCTCAGCAGTGAGCTGCTGGGAGTGTTGAGGTGGAGTTTATAGCTCAGAGGTCTTGCTTCTGAGAGGCAGCGATCAGGTTGGGGTTTGTTTTTCCTGTGTATATATCCTATCTGGGCTCAGCTGTACCGAATATCATTTGTCTCTTTATGCCACTCGGTGATGGCATGCAGCTTTCTGGTCAGGATTCACCAGCAAACTCTCCCAGGTTTTTCAAGGGAGACTGAAAAGGATTAGGATTTCAACACAATTAGGATTGTGTTGAAGGTAGGAGCCCCAGCACAGAGCAGGGTGCTGCTCCACAGGTTCTTTCCATATGCTCATTATTTCCTGCCTGATCTCTTTAATTTCAAGTCCCTGGAGGTCGTTTTCTCTTGTCCCTTTGCAGCTGCTCTCTTCAGAGCCCTCCAAGAGCCCTGGTTGTAGTGGGACACCATGTGGTAGTGAACCAGCTGGCCAGGATCCTTTCCCAGTGCTGGCCACCTCCAGGGCTTTCAGGCAAGCTTTGGCTGGCTCTGTGTCCACAGATTGCATAAACCAGCTTGAAATAAGTCAGTTTAATCATGGCTGTGTGGTCTGAAAGATGTGGTTTGGTGCTCTGGAGCTAACAGTGCATTCTGCTAGTCCCTTCCAGAGGCTCAGTTTTGCTCTCCACAGATCAGTGCAGTGTCCCCCAATATTTTGGGAGCTGATTTGTGCTGAGGTTCCTCTTTCTGGACCCCTGAGTGGCAGATCTCTTACAGACAAAATCTCACTGTCAGCTGTGTAGGGTTGTACATGCAAGCCCAGGAAAATGCAGTAGGAGTGGAATACTAGCTGTTAACATCTAGATTTCTTTTTCTTCCCCTAGATGCCAGTCTGACACCTGCTAGATTTTTTTGTTGTGGTTTGTTTGTTTTTCTTTCTCTCTGGTTTTTTTTCCCCCCTCCATGTAACAATGGAAAGCTAACAGGCTTTTGTCTCAACCACTGTCTTTTGGGTAGAAGGTGTTTACTTCATGATTCATGGAAATAAGTAGCTTTAAAGAAGTGTTTTTGAGGCACTTGGCACGCCATCACAAGGGTTACTAATGCACGCACTTTCCACCTTGGTGTGAGAGACAAGGGGAAATAACCATCCTTAAAATGTTATTTTGTATTAAAAGGTAATCATGTGGTCAGTGGTAAAATTGTACTTGTTACTGTATTGGAATATTTTTTGTGGGACAGTTGCAGGCACTCAGGGTAGCAAGGTTTCTTCAGTTAATATGTATCTTGCTTGAACTGTTCCCTCCTTTCCTAGCTACATGTTAGCAATAAAACTGAGACAATTGCAAACAGTGATGTGAGGATTTAATTTACTCAGTAGTAGTCTGGAGCCGAATAAAAGGTGTTCCAGTGAATTAGAATTCACGTGGAATAATAGGAATATTTTATTTCATCGTTTGGCCACAGGCTTTGCTTAGAGGGCTCTGAGCTGTGAGATCGGCTCAGGTTGCTTGTGTTTGCTTCTCTCCAAAGTAATGAGAAGGGAGGAAAAGTAGGAAAATGGGAGTGTGAGTTTTTGGCAGCCAAAATATCAGCCAAATATTAGCAGAATTCCGGACCAAAAGCCTTGTTGCTGCAAGAAGATTAAAACAAACAACCCCCTCCAAACGGGAGATCAAGTAAACAGGCGTGGGAAATGTGTGTTTTCTCTCTGTCTGCTGCTTTCTGTGGTGACTTTCTCTGTATCTTTGTCCTTTCCTCATGTAGCACGTCAGGCAAGCCTGGCAGACTCTGTCTGGACTGGCTGGTGCTGTGCAGAGATGTGGCAGCTCCTAGAAAAAAAGTTTTTATCTGGTGCTGATCTTTGAGGGCAGAGCAGCAGCCACTGCTGTGGCTTGTTCAGGTCTGATTCCTTTGCTAGCAAGATGAAATAAAAGCTGCAG